CACACACACACACACACACACACACACACACACACACACACACACACACTAAAAAACATGCATTATAGAAACAGCAGAGCTGACGCTGGTTGACCTGTTCACCATGACATCAGTCATGTTCACCTCCACAAAAGAAGCTGCATTGACAAATTCATAAACTTCTTCAACACTGAGCTGTAAGTGTGTCTGTTGATGGTTGCACTTAAGATTTAGTACCGTTTACATAAGGCAACAACCTGCAGCTCATCTGCGACTCATTTTATTCCCCCTCTATAGTCAGACATAAACCAGCACAGCGATGACTTTTTAGTGTCGTTCCCAGGTGTTCTCGTTTTTTTTTTCTCCAGGCAATGAATAACTCATACAAATGAGTTGCAAAAACATGGAGTGGGTGTTTCAATATCCCTCATCCATATTCATTGGCACCGCAACACTCATGGTTTACCCTTTTAAGGTGCTAAACTGACAATTCACCGCACTTATACAGCAGCAAATGAAACGACAGCTACTCCTCTGTTAAAGGAACAAAAGTTTGAAAGTTTCAAAACGTCAAATTCAAACCTATTTCAAAAGAAATAGAAGCATCTTGTAATAACGTTAATTCTTATTATTTTTGCTTTTAAGGTCTTTATGTTTTGAGCTGTATTGCTGCTCTATGCAAATCAAGAAATGACTGCCGACATGCTTGTTTGTCATGTTTGCAGTCGTTATATTAGCATTACTCAGCGTTGTCACTATCAAATTACAGCAGAGGAGGACGGGAATATCTTTACCTTCCAAAATATTTGGTGATAAATATCTTTTATCTTTGAATTTACCTCATCCTAAATGAAACATGATAGCAAAATGCAACATTAATATAGCTCTTTTTTTTCCTTTGTTCCATCTTTATGCCTTGAAAACAATATTTGTGAGTGCACTAGCTGCTGCTGTGTTGATTAAGGTCACATGTTTCAAATATTTCAGCATGAATTAATCTGGTTTATTAAGAGTTAAATGTAAAACTAACTGATGACTGTTGATGATGGCTGTGCTACTTCAGCTGAATAAAAGATGTCACTCCCTTGATTTATGTTTGGTTGTTTGATGCAAAGATCCAAGGTGAAATGATATGAATGCTTGTTTTTAGGATAATAATTACAAAGCTGAGGAAAATAATTAAAGGGGACACATGCAAAATCCACTTTTTTAGCTGTTAAATGCATTTTGTTGTGTACTTGGAATCTCAAGGAGTGCAGAAAAGTTTAATTTAGTTTGTCCCGGTGATGCTAAGATATCTTTATATTCGGTTTGGGTCATATTTTTTATCCTGTTCATTTTTCTCTATTTTATATGACGTTTTCTGAACTATTACATCACACCAACGCATTGCAGTTCCAGTTTAAATAGACCATAACTGAATGATTTAAATGTGAAAAAGTAGGATTTAAAAGCATGTTATGTATTCGTTAACTTGTTCTATGTTGCACACTAAAAGAAGACAAGAACAGTTATTTTAATAATAAAGCATGATGGTTGAGCCTGACCTTAAGGCTGTGGCCTGTTAATTAACAAGATAATACAATGTGGTTTGCATTTAAGATAAAATGCAAAAAATAAATAAATAAAATAAAGGGCACACCAGTAATTACTTCGAGATTTTCCTTATTATGTTTTCCTGTTAGGATGTATCCTTCATTTATTCAAGTCAAAAATATTTAAATGTGCATGTATTTGTGCTAAATGTTTGCTAAATGTTATCTTATCCTAATCTCTGATTCCATTTGCATAACAAACCTGGAGCCTTGTGCTGCTCATTAGGCTGTCAGGACACACAGTGCATTTATTAGCTATGATGATAATAATGGATAATGTTCAGCTCAAGTATTAATCCACTGCTGCAGACAACAACAAGGAAAGAGCCCCCCCACAAAGAAAGTAATTAAGGCCTTTAAGTTGTTTGCATAGTCTGGCATTTTGTGTCTTTTCTAATTAAAATAACTAATTTGGAAATTTGAAAACAAGTTTACATTTTCTTTTTTTAAGTTACTGACTTTTATGAACATACAGTAGTTTATACACACTAATAACTGACAGAAGTTTAAGTATTGTAAATCTGATGCAGCTTTTCAGAACCTGTCGAGCTTCATCACCTTAATGTGGTAAAGGGCATTAGAGCAACAAGGTTTGAAGATTTCCAGAGAACATTGATTTTTAAGGACAGTGATGAAGAAAACAGTGATTGATAATAGGTGTGTTGAGCTAATCTATAATTTAAACCAACACAAACAACAAAAAGACCACTGCAGGTTTCTGAAGAACCTAGAGATTAAATAAAATGCAGCTAAGCTCCATGTGAATAGAATTTGTATGCTTTACCCAAATGGATTCATGTTAAAGTGCCTATGTCGTGAATTTTTTTGTAATGTATTTGAATGCATTTTTGGACAGATAACATTGATTGGTTTATTGTAACAAAAGTTTCGAGCCGCTTGTGATGAACAGTTGTTGAGATATTTGCATGTAAGGTAACAGGAAGTGATGTCATAGGGGAATGTGTGCATGTAAACAGAGCCTTGCTACAATGACCAACAACAAGAAGAATGTAATGTTTCTTCAGAATATTTTGAGTCACTGTCAGAGAGATGAAGAACAGTCAGAATTATAGTTTAATATGGTTTCTATAAGCAAAAAACGAAGGTTTTCTTTCTTAAAGAGTTCCCCTTTGATGTCACTTCCTGTTCCATTTTGGCTGAGCCGAACTCATAAAGGAAATATGCCATTTATGTGACAAAACGGGAAAAATCATGTGTATTACGCGAGTTTCTAAGAAATAAAGATGTTTTTTTTACTTTTTTGTATTTGAAGGGTATGCATGTCAGAGGCACTTTAAGGAACATATTTATTATAAAAGGCAGTTTACGTCGAAAACATGGACACACTCTTCATCTGTTTGATTATGAAGGATGTAAGTTGTGTATTGCAGAAAAAATGTTTGTCTTTTTTATGTTGTTTTGTTTTTATTATTTTGACCTGCACATATTCCTTTGGGTTCTTTCATTTAATTAACGTTGCTGTTTATTTCATCACGCATAAATTGTGTTGCGTATATTCTGTCTTTGTGTGTGCGTTTCTACTGTGAAAACATTTGCAGCGGCATGAGAAAAGAACCCGCTGTGGATTAGTTGTGATTTGCAGGTTGAAAATCAGGTTTAGGTTGACGTGACGTTTTATCGCCGACTGTCCTCACAAAGACAGTAAGTTAGCGTTTGCGCGTCCGTTTGTGTGTGAGCACACTTGACGTGTTTAACATTGTGTGTTTTAATCTTTCACAAGTGCAGCGCAAATCTCTAAGTGAGAGGCTTATCAACTCCTCTTTCCACTTCATTAGCATCATCCAGGAGTATTAAACTGTAACGCTCGCTCTGTTTCCTTCCCTGCTCTTCCACAAACGCTCTCTGTGTGACTGTGTGAACAAAGTCTGCACAGATCAAAGTTTGGCCTTAAAGATGATCCGACATAATCCGGGCAGAAACTGCTGCACTGTAAATACAGTATGTGAACGACAAATAACAACCAGAAAAACTGTGAAGTGCTGAGAACAATGGCTTTTAAATTTTTAGAAAATCAAATGTCTTTCTTTCCTCTCTTCTTTTTCCTTCTGTGTTGAATGCAGCACAGTGCTATATTTCACACTCAGACGCTATCATGACCTGTCGAACTCGTTTCAGCACAAAGGATTCAAAGTTTCAGCGACACGTTTCTTCCTCAAGATGAGGTCTCAAACTGTCTATCCATCAAAGTTACACGCCATGTCTTTCTTGCTCTTATTCTTTTACAAATGTATGCTTTTCTTTCTACTGCATCTTATAATTTTGCTCGTTCATTTGAATTTGAGAATTAATTACAGCTAAAATGTACTATTTGCATTAAAATCAAAGCATCTGCTGCCGAAGAAAACTATCAGAATAATTATTTTGTTTTCTGCAACCATTTCGTGTTTCATTATTAAGTCTTTAGTTGCCTTTTAATTTAAGATTAAATTTTAAAATGTCAACATTTTGACTGGTCAATGGATTCAACATTGCTCATAGAATCGTTGCCTACCTCAGTAAGGTGAGGGTTGGGGTTGAAGCCGCACTGGTTGCACACGGTGGCCTTGCACTGGGTGCAGGTGTTGTAGTTGGGTACAGCTGGCGGGTTGGACAGCTCGGTGGTGGTGCACACTGGGCAAAGTTTGCTGCTCGGCATGGGCGCGATCTGCGGCAGGGAGTAGGGCGAGGTGGGTGTCACCCCCCGGTCAGGAGACACAGATGGAGACCGGCCCGTCCTCGAGCCGCTCGAACCACTGAAGTCAACTTGGAGGTTGCGACGGGAGGCGTGCTGGCCGGGACTTTGACCTCCCTGGACTCCCATGCCGGACCCGGCTGCGCCGTGACCCATCCCGTGGCCAGAGCCCGGGCCCTGCCCCATGCCAGAACCCTGACTGGACTGCATGTGTCGTGGGGAGGATGGACTGTCGTGAGCAGCCAGGCGGTAAGGCTCTCCGGCTCTGGACCCGATTCCCCCAGCAGTTCCCATCCCTCCTCCCATTCCCCCAATCCCTCCTCCTCCCATTGTTCCCATCCCTCCTCCCATTCCCCCCATCCCTCCTCCTCCCATTGTTCCCATCCCTCCTCCACCCATTGTTCCCATCCCTCCTCCCATTGTTCCCATCGCTCCTCCACCCATCCCTCCTCCACCCATTGTCCCCATCCCTCCTCCACCCATTCCCCCCATCCCTCCTCCACCCATCCCTCCTCCTCCCATTCCTCCCATCCCACCTCCTCCCATTCCCCCCATCCCTCCTCCCATTCCTCCGCCGCCCATTGTTCCCATCCCACCTCCTCCCATTCCTCCCATCCCACCTCCTCCCATTGCTCCCATCCCACCTCCTCCCATTGTCCCCATCCCACCTCCTCCCATTCCTCC